TTTCTGACGTTTCGTGACTTAGTGTAAGTCACTTCTTCAGAGAATAAATAACTTGGATTAATTTTAATTTGGTTATTTATTCTCTGAAGAAGTGACTTACACTAAGTCACGAAACGTCAGAAAATCTAATTTTCTACTCATTGGGATATTACAAATATATTATTTGTTTATCCTCGTAGATTGTTTCGCTTACACCAGGCTTCTTGCTGCCAGTGGCTCGGATGAGTTGGAAGAGCTTCCGGTAGTTACCAGATGCAGCTGCTGCTTCCAGCTCATTGGCACGCTCCGACCACCAGGCTTCTCGGTTTTTACGCAAGCTTTGCCCGATTTCATTACGTAACAGTCGTCGGTTGTGGTCAGACTCACGATCACCCGGAGTAGACCGACGGGCTTCGATGAGTTGTAAGGAGCCTGAAGAAACCCAGTGCTTATAAGCGGGACGTTTCGCGAACCCACAACTGACTGTACCCGCCATTTTCATGGCGTCATGCAATTGCAACCAATGTTCATCTATACTTTTCGGTGGAATGGTATCTAGCCTACAAGCTAGCTCGGTTCGATACCTACTAGCAACAGAAGTTGCAACCAACTTGCTGACATCAATCCTTTGTTGGCGGTCACTTCGTTGTCCACTGTAAAGTAAGGTGAGATTGGCACAGACCAAAGCATGGTCAGAGTCCAGATAGGTACTCCAAAAGGAGCGGCAGTCTTGTACACAACCACGACAGCGGTAGCTGATCGCGATGTGATCAATCTGAGTCCAGGCTTGAGATGCAGAGGGAGGACGCCAGGTGGCACATCGGCGATGAATGTGCCGGAAGTTAGTGCTAGCCAGAAACAGGTTGTGGTCTGTGCAAAGTTGCAGTAGACGGTCCCCGTTATCTGTTCTGTGACCAACAAGTCCTCATCGGCCACCTAAACGACTCTCTTCTGTGTCTAAGACGCCCGACTGAGCATCCAAGTCTCCGGCTAGTACTACAATATCTGTCGAACGCACTTTTTGGAGAAGAACAAATAACTGGTGGTAAAAGTCATCCTTGATTGCATCCGGGCTGCAATCTTGGAGCGTAGGCGGAAATGACGAAAAGACATCGTTTCTCACGCCGGTTTCTCCTCACTTTGATGGAACTCTCTAATGCAACAGCACATAACCGACTGTTAATGGGGATCCAATCAATTAGTGCTGCCTCAGCTCTAGCACTTAATGCGACACTTAACGCCAGCAAGAGCAGACGAAGTTGCCACAGGGTCCCCGGATAAACGCACGTAAAACAAGCTTTTTGAGGCGACAGATGGAGAGTGAATTTGTAGTACTTCACCAGAGTCCCTCCGGGGTTACTGCCGGTCCCAAGCCCGGATAATGGAGGAGGGTTGGGTATGGGGTTAGCGTCCCCATTCCGTAGAAAACCAACTCGCTAAAAAATGCTAAGTAACCACCAGAGTCTTGAATACGGGTCTCGGATAGATAATAAACATCGATATTGAGACTTTCCAAAGACATAGCCACCCCTATCTGTTGTCCGTCCTGCATAAGTGTGCGAACGTTGAAGGCAGCCAGTTTGAATGGGGCGCGTGGTTTCAGGAAAAGTGCTTCAGTATTCGTATTTGGTGGTAACATACAATTTCCCACCGGGTAGTGACTCGAGAACGTTTAGATAGAACCGAGTTTCCACCATAGGCGAGCTGCTGTATAAGTCGAAAAATAAGGATACAGAAAATGGGAATAAAAGAGAGTGAATAAATGACGTAGTAAATAATAATAATAATGTGAATTGTTTGACTGTAAATCGACGCGAGAATAGAGTTTTCAGTAAATATCGTCATTTTCATTATATATTTGGAACTAAATGTCCGTTATACGCATTTTCATCCGCATATTTGGTTCGTGTCCAAATTCAAACAGACTTTGTTTTGTATGTTTGTTTTCATTAACATGGTACTTCTGTCATTTAAAGACAACTTTTAGCGATAAAGTCATCGTTCTATTTTCCCTCAATTTCTGCTTGTGTTTGATATCTTACGTAATCATGCCTCGTCAAACAATCAGGAAGACTTTAAGTCTTAATTTGGGCTCGAATAAACCTTTAGTCAAGCAAAGCTATTTTACTGTCGTATTTAAATTAATGAGTGAATGTACAATTGTGACTAGCCGTTTACTACGATTACGATTCATCGATTTTAGCGATTGGGACGTATTACTTATGTTACATAACCGCCTACGTCAATTTAGACAACTTTCTACATCAACTTTGTAGTTTAAACAACTTTCTATACTCAAGTCTCATGTTCGAGTCCGGCAGCATACACATTAGCATAAACAATCTACACAAAACGTTTAAAACTAACTATACGAACAAGTGCTTGCGGTGAGACTATGATTTATGGACGGCCTTTGAGCTAAGCTAGATTGACCTTGAGTGTCCACCTAATACCTATGACTATATGAGGGTTCTAAACCGGTGTGCGAAATTAGAATTATGTTTTACAGTTAATGAATAACGTTAGGAATTAGGTTTCGGATTTTCATCACGAACTGACATCAGCTGTAACGCCAAAACTATTTAACGAAATTGGGTGACTGAATTTCGCACCAATATCCGAGGCGTATACTTTATTGGTTCGTCCATAAATTATAGTCTCGCTGTGCTTGGTTACTGAGTTAAATTAAACTACATTATGTTGCTCCATCAGGTCCCGGGTAACATTCTTTTTTTAAAATCCTCCACTTGTACTTGAAAAATATTCACCAACAATCATGTTGCTACCCAGTATTTTTGTATTTGATGGGTTAAATGAATATTATGTTTTATTTCTAAAGTTAGTGTTTATATTCGTCAAGCCATTTATTTAAAATTGAGTGAATAACGCAACTGTCATCCATATTAAAAAAATAGTCTTCTTAGTCTGGACCGGACCGTAGCTGCTACATTGACGTGGTAGTTGGACCTGCCTATCGGTAACTCACGCGAACCATATTGGATGAAACACGTTCCTTTAGGTCCTACCGTCCCAGCCAGATTGGTTGGAGAGCGGTCAGACTAAAAGCAGGAACTTAAGGTCCGAGGGGGAAGTACTGTAAAAGGGTGTGACATCAGTTGGTTGTTCCCCTCAGACAATTAGCGTCTTCAGCAATGCTGCCTTCCCACAACAAAAGGAAGGGGATAGAAAAGACTGACCCTAAGAATGTCACACCTCACCTTACCCCACGGATTTCCGTCTCCGATAGGAAGACCTTTTAAAATGCAGAGCTAACTCATCAAAGGCTTTTTATAAAAAAGGCCGTGGGTGACCAACTTCAATCAGTTATTTCTTGGGCTCCGTGGTCACGCTCCCAGATTGCTAGGAGTGCCACTACCTACACTTCCACTGATTGCAGCTCGGTTGAGGTTGAAGATGAATTTTATGGGAGACTATCCAGCCTCCTTCAAATAGCTAAACGCCCTTATACGCTAATAGTGGCAGGTGATTTTAATGTTTATGTATGTAAAGGAAACCAAACCGAAAGGCACTTAGGTAGGTCTTTCTGTGCTGCGGCTCAGCGAACAAATAATGGCGACCATGCGTTGCAACTATGCTTGACTAAATGTTTATTTTTACCAAGCACCATCTTTAAGCAGTAGGAGAAACATCGTATGACATGGCGACTTCATCAATCAACTCACCGATGGACTCAAATAAATCACATTACCATTAGCCATCATTGGAGGGGTGTATCGAAGACTATCGCTCATTATGGAGCACATGTCTAGACTTAGATCATGATCCAGTACGAGCGCGTATTTGTGTACATCTTACTGGACGTAAAAAAGCCACAGCAAGAAAACCCCTTAGAATTCAACTTAATGATAGAAAAAACTTAGGAATATATTTCAAGAACCACTAGGAAAGGAGTTGGTCAACCGTTAGAATGCTATCCACCGCGATGTAGCTTGGTACGATGTACAAAAAGCTGTGGAAACAAAAGTAATGTTCACTAGTAACTTAAAACAAAACGTTACGAAAGTCAACGGGCTCTACAGAACTGACAAAAGCTCGGAAACTCTTCCCGTCTAGCTTCGAACACAATGAAAAGTGGAGGCAGCTAAAACGTAGGCTAATAAAAAGCCTACTTAATGATTGTGAGTAGTTGTGGGTAGCGACAGCGGAGGAAGTGGGAAGGCAGTAGCGATAGTCAAAAGTAGACAATTGGTATAGACTACCTGGATGGGGTCCGTGTGATTATCGTAACCATTGGTTAAAGACTTTGAATGACATTGCTCTAAATCGTCTGAAATGGCTCAGGCGCATCCGCTCCTTATCTTTCCCCAAATCCTGACATTTGGAATTCCTCATAACATTTTTTTATTTCGCTAATTTATATTTTCTGTAGTCGTATCCTCGATGCCTAATCTTTCCTATTACTACTGCCTATATTATTCCGGGTTTCAGCCTGACGTCTCTATGCTAGTCGGATATGGCAACTCAAACCGATGTACATGCGTACAGGTATGGGATAACTATCGGGATGTATGCTGTACAGATGTCATTCCAGTGACTCACACTACGTACTGTTTGCTGATGCCGGGATTAATGGACGAAAGTGGAGGCGGTCAGTTTAATGCATCTCTATAAAGTGGAAGATTACTGCATATATGATCTGACACCTTTTGCTGCACCAGAACTTCCTAGTTGGGGCATTTTCCTTAGAGTTATTGTAAGTTGTGATGTAAGTGTCCAGAAATGGAAAGAGCTTATGTGTTCGGATCTTGTTTAAATGAATAGTTACACGTATACAGATTCTGTGTACGAATGTTGTTAACCGTTCCAGACTGGTTTTCATATACATATTACGTTAAAATATAACCATACCCGGTCATGTACGTTATGAACATTGAAGAGTGCTATAATAATACGAAATAATCTTCGCTCATGTTTAAAAATAATCTTTTGTGACTTTTTGCAGATGAACTATCATTATTTCATCGGTGCATGTTTTGCTGCTCTTTTAAAAATTCTAATAGCTGTTAACACGAGTTTTCGCTCAGCTTGGTGATTTGAATCCTGAACTTGTATCAGATCAGAAAAGAAAGCTCGTAATGGTTCCTCCTCAAATGGCTCGTGTTGGGACCAAAAAGACTCTCTTTGTAAATTTTTCAACTATTTGTCGTTCTTTAATGAGAGATCAGTCTCATCTCACAACATACATACTAACTGAATTGGGTACTCAGGGTTCAGTGGATGCTAACGGTGCTTTACTTATTCGTGGACGTTATACAAGTAAACATATGGAACCTGTGCTGAGAAACTACTGTAGTAAGTGTCATAATCTCTAATTTTTAAAGTTGATGTCATTATTTTTATTGATAATAATAAAAGTACGTGTTAGTTATAGAACCTCGGTCCTATGATTTTTGTAAATCTTTGTATATAACTGAAATGTGTGCGAGCTTGTCTAAAATAATCTTCGGTTCCTCATTATTAAGCAGTTAACTAAATCCATTCCTATGTTCTGTTAATATGTTGTCGATTATTTTTAGATTATCCCAGGTTCTGCATCGTTAAGTTATACAAATCGTTGATTTACGTAATATCCTGGTAATTTGATTTTACTGTTCTCGATATTTTAATTATGTCAAGAGATAAACTGGTTATTGTCATAAACGACATCTGAAAATTCCAAAACGATGGATTTTTTGTTCGAGAATTGAACGCTAGCAGCGACATGATAGTGTACAAAATGTTGGTTTCGTTTTTCACCTTGATCCTGGTGTTGAATCAGACTGAGAAGCCATCCCTTTTAGTTCAGAATATTTTACATCTGTATATTATTTAAACATTTTTTGTGGGATTAGAAGTCGGAAGGTAAGGTTGTTCTTCTCATCGTTTTCTACTGAACTCGATATAAGAACCTAAAACAAAGAAATTCTTGATGTATAAACTACGTAAAGTGAAGTAATGCTACAGGCAGTAGTAAAGGACATAAACGAAAAATGACTACGTAAACACAATTCAAACCATTCTTATCATTGTTTATATAACAACAAGAAAATCTTACTCACTTTACGTTCCTGATAACCTCTCAATACACTAAGTTATGTTAGACACCATTCCCCAAATATCGGTCCATATGCAAAGTTACGTATCATATTTCTTGTGGCATCTTCTTCTAGTTCTTGTCTCACTAAAGGCCAGGGCTGAGACTGCACTGATCGATCGGATTTGCATCAACATTCAGTCATGTGCTGTTAGATTAGAAGGCTCCATCAAAATGAGTATTCGGTGTAAGAAACGATGTCTTTTCTTCATCGCCAACGCATCGACAAGCTGCATCCCGGATGCGACCAAGGATGAGTTTGACCACCAGTTAATAGTTCTTCTACAAAACGTGCGTTCGACAAGTATTGTAGTACTAGCCGTATATTTGAATACACAGGTCGAGGGTCTAGGTACACAGAAAATTCGTTTGGGTGGCCGATGAAGACCTGTTAGTCGCAGGCCAGGTAACGGTGACCGTCTACTGCAACTTGGTGCAGACTACAACCTGTTTCAAGGCTAGCTATTAATCTACTGTTATAATTTCTCTTATTACAACCCAGCTATTACTATTGCTTAGTATTCTTGGACGCTAATCCACTCGATAAGTCTCCAAATCAGCACACAGTTGAACAGGAACGAAATTATACTCTAAGTAACGATGGCAGATGGAAGTAAGAAGCACAATAAGAGATACGTTTGTATATTTATGGTTTTTACATGACAATATTCCAGAGTCTTCTCCAAGTATCGGCTGGTGTTGATTAAATAAGAAATAGCCAATCAGCGCGCACCAACACAATCGTGTACGGAAAGTGCGGCTTCGCAAAACGTCCCGCTCATAAGTGTTGGGTTTCTACAGACTCCTTACAACTCGTTGAAGCACGTCGATCTACTCCGGCCAACCGCGAGTTCGACGATAAATGAGGATTGTTACATAATAAAATTGTGCAAAGTCTGCGCAATGATCCAGAAGCCTGGTAGTCGGAGTGAGCTGAGTTGGGAACATAAGCATCTTCTGGTAAACGCCGGAAGCTCTTCCAGCTCATCCGAGTCACTGGCAATAAGAAGTCTGGTGCAAATGAAACCATCTGTGTCCGGGAATTAAATTGTTTCAACATAGCGAAACGAGTCGATTGTTATCCTTATCTTCAAAAAGAGTTCACGTCACCTATGCAACAACTATCGATGGATAAGTGTACTTCCGATTGCTTCCAAATTATTGGCTCACTTCATACTTCGCAGATTGTTCAAAACACGGGAGAGTGATTCGCTAGGGGCGAGTTGGTTTTCATTTTGGTTGAGGATGTATTGATCACATATATTTCCACCTTCCGCCAAACTTTAGGACGCCGTCATGCCTATTGCAGCGCAACGCGTCGTGACATCAGGCCCACCGTCGGTCAGTTAGACAGGACACGTTTCTAGAATTGTCTGTTAAAGGAGAATCTGCCTGGCAAGTTTATTAACATCTTGAGGGCCCCATATACAAACACGTCAGACAGAGTGAGGGCATACCACCACCTCTATCAATTGTTCCATCCAAGCAGTGAGGTTGGGCAGGGTTGCCCAGTCAAAACATTCCTCTCCAACTTAGCCATCGATAAAGTTTTAGAGACAGCTCTGATACACGTAGGTAACGGTGGTTTTGGTCTGTAACCTGGAGAAAGATTTTTCAACCCTTAGCATGCGGATGATATTGTCTTACTGCGCGATGATACTCAAGTCATACAATCCACACTCAATTAGTTGGCAACCAATATCCGTACGTCTGGCGTGTGCTCTGCACCTTCTGGACGCCAAGTACTTTTACAAGACTATCAGGACGCTAAACCTGCATTCTCTCTGGGTCGTGAGCAAGACGAAGGAAGTCTAGAAGTGCGTGTATCTGGGTAGCTACGTAAGTGCTGGTATGTTTTGAGATAGGTAAAACAAATAAACCTAAACATGCTATTGATTAACGCAGTCACAGTGCAAGTTACCAACTTAACAATATGAATATTTATTGGTGTTTTGAAAATGTTCACAAAGTAGCCAGTTATTAGTTTCGGTGAACTGATTCATATCTTTCGTTACAGTCAACTTCACGTTTTCGTTTTAAGGAGATATGTTTTATTATAGCATTCGGTCATCAAGCCTTCCCTAATTACATTTTTTATTATTCATAACATATTCTTGCTTCTATTTACTTTTTTGTTCAGGAACTTACGTGTTGTGTGGTACCTGCCAGTCTTCTGAAACAGACCTATGCAAAGACTCGAGACTTCTTTTCCTCCACTGTCGGCGATGTGGATCTCGTTTCACCGTAAAAACAGTGACTTCCGGATTCCAAGCACTGACAGGGAAACGTGCTGCTTTGCGGGCAAAAACACAATGATACGTTAACTGTTCCGGGTTTTTTACTTCGTCGACCTAAAGCACAAACTATCGAAATAAAACGCTATTTTATTTCCAGTAGTATTCTTTCTAGTACAATATGCGAAGACACTTTTGTTTACACATCTACTAATTAGTTTCAGCAAGATTCTTAAACTGTATTAATATGAACGCCTTATACTTGAGGACGTACATATAGAATTCCAGGTGTTATATTTCTAAACATTTGTTATGACTACCTTGAAGGGTGTTGGTAGGTAGAATTAATTTTAAACAAATAGAGCAAGAACAAAAATTGGTGCAGAATAATATGAATTCATTTTATTTCGTTAGGTTCTCATCAGCTGCTTACAACCTAAATTATTTAAAATTCAACATTAATACAGATATTGACATATTTATATATAAGAGTGTGATTAAGGATCAATACATGTGTATGATGATGTAGCGAATATTCAGATAGAGTTAATGAGCTCATAAAATGTTTGATTCGAATAAATAAATAAAGTTTGAGAGGGAAAGTTCCAGAACATTGAAATAGTGATTAGAACTCATGAAAATAGATTAATGGTAATAAAGAAAATATGAATTGAAATCAATCAGTTATGTATGATGTAATTTATATTTTAGAAAGAGTTGCAATAATCACGTAATAAATAAATAAATAGGAGCAAATTAATAGAAAGAGTGCGGGTTATTGTTACCAGGGTAAAGAAAGATTTATTACTGTCTCTTTTTGTATACATAGATCTGGTTTTAAACGTTTGATTGCTAACGCTTCAGCAAATTTCAAAAGGTTCGAGTTTGATTGTTTGTTAATCACCTTGAAGGACTTCAGTATATCAGCTTTATGTCCTGTATCAAGGAGATGTCTGGCGATAGCACTGTTGAATGCGTTCAATCCATTTAACCTTAAACTTTTCGGAATATGTTCTTTGAATCGGACGTAGGCTCTCCTTTCTGTTCTACCAATGTAACTGCTTTGGCAGGTACATGTAAATTTGTATACACAGTTGGTGGTAACATGAAAGGGATACCTATCGACCTTTGATTGTGTCAAAGAGCATGTTGTTTTGGACAGGACAATCAATTTCGCTGCAGGATAAGTTCTTGTCAGTGCAGTTTTTAGTCTCATATTGATTGATCCTGTGACATCGTCACCTTTGAATTGAAGTTTAATAAAAATAGGCTTTTTATTTGCTGTAATTTCTTTCGGCTTTTTAACTTCACATTTGCCGTATTTCTCAATAAATTTCAGTGGGTATCCGTTATTCTTTAAACATTTTTTAACATTCATAACTTCCTCTTCTAGTGTATCGGAAGTACATATTCTTTCTGTTCTGTAAAACAGTGTTTTGACCAGTGCCTTTTTGTAACTGATTGGACAAAAGCTATTGAAATTAAGATAACTACCATTCCATGTGTCTTTCTTATAAACTGAACGTTGAACTGTACCATCTTTTCTTCTTTTCATCGCGATATCGAGAAAATGGAACTTGTTTTCTTTTTCATGTTCCATAGTGAAATGGATATTCGGATGTGCTTCATTGAAAAACTCTAGCAGATTTATTGCATGTTGTTTATTATTACATACGATGAAGGTATCATCAACATATCTCGAATAATACGTCATTTCATCAATCGCTCGTTTGAGTTTGGTTCTTTCGAGGTTAGCCATGAAAATATCTGCTAGGATAGGACCTAACGGACTTCCCATCGCTACACCATCGATTTGTTTGTATATGATATCGTTGAACTGGAACTGAACATCTTTTGTACAAATGAGTAATAGTCGTTTGAATTCTGGTACTGGTAGAGGTAGGATGTCAGAATGTTGACAAATTATGTCTATGGTCTCAAGAAGTGGTATTTTTGTAAACAAAGATGTTACATCAAAAGAAACCATAAACTTACCGGCAATATTCATGTGATTCATGCTGTCAGCAAATACAAATGAATCCTTTAGTGTATAGGTGGCTAATCGTTGACGCACTGGTTCTAACTTATCTGCCAACCATCGTGCAACTTTGTGGTATGGTGAATTGATCATTGACAAAATAGGTCTAAGAGGATAACCTTGTTTATGTATTTTCGGTAATCCATACATGTGGGGCAAACGAGACCCACGAGGTCGTAGATTATTGTAAGTAGAGTTATCGATCATTTTCTTTTTCAGAAGATCTCTGAGTACTTTGGTGATTCTTTTCTCAATGGAATCAGTTAAGTCTTTGTTACTTTTCTCTAACTTGAATCTCATATGGTCATTCAAGATGGACTTCATCTTAAAAACATAATCTGTTTTGTTCATTAGAACAACACTTGAGCCTTTGTCTGACCGTAATATCATTATATCGTCATTTCGTTTAATATTTCGTAATGCTGTTTGGTGGTCTTTGGATAAAAGCTTAGACTGTGGTGCGGGTGAAACAAGATATTGGTTTGCAATATCGACTAGTTTAGATTTAAACCAGCCTTTCTTTTCTTCACTAACTGGGTGCAACTCTTTAATTTGATCAAATAAATTCTCAAATTGAGTTTCTGTGTCGATTCTGTCGGCATGTGTTTTGGGGATATGAAATTTAAATCCAAGTGACAAGGCTTCTGTTTCTGTCTGATTTAACTTCATTGTTGATAGATTATAGAGAAACTTTTCGGGGTTTTCCGGAAAGCCAAAACATAATTGTTCCTTTGACAGAGTCTTTGACAAAGTTACGTGGAAATTCTTGCATATTTTGCTTTGCAGATCTTGTATAAAATTGATAAATTTTATGCGACATACGATACTTAGATTGTCGATTAATTCATTAAAGGCATTAGTTTCTGCCCTCAAACGTTCAATCAGTAACTTTGTTGATTCAATGTGAGATTTTGTGATGCGTCGAAGATTTTTAAGAGAAGGCGGAAGTTTAAATGAGCGTAAAGACTTTAAGAACTGACGTGGGAAACGGCATGACTTGAGACATTCATCAAAAAACTTTAGTCGAGTTATTTCTCTCGATATTCTGCAGCGTATTGTCACCAGGCGATTCAGTGACTTGAATGACTGTGCAGGGAGACGCATTTTGAGAAATTTCATACACATAGTTCCCTTTATTATTTTAAAGAGAGCAAGAACAAAAATTGGTGCAGAATAATATGAATTCATTTTATTTCGTTAGGTTCTCATCAGCTGCTTACAACCTAAATTATTTAAAATTCAACATTAATACAGATATTGACATATTTATATATAAGAGTGTGATTAAGGATCAATACATGTGTATGATGATGTAGCGAATATTCAGATAGAGTTAATGAGCTCATAAAATGTTTGATTCGAATAAATAAATAAAGTTTGAGAGGGAAAGTTCCAGAACATTGAAATAGTGATTAGAACTCATGAAAATAGATTAATGGTAATAAAGAAAATATGAATTGAAATCAATCAGTTATGTATGATGTAATTTATATTTTAGAAAGAGTTGCAATAATCACGTAATAAATAAATAAATAAATAGGAGCAAATTAATAGAAAGAGTGCGGGTTATTGTTACCAGGGTCGATAGGTATCCCTTTCATGTTACCACCAACTGTGTATACAAATTTACATGTACCTGCCAAAGCAGTTACATTGGTAGAACAGAAAGGAGAGCCTACGTCCGATTCAAAGAACATATTCCGAAAAGTTTAAGGTTAAATGGATTGAACGCATTCAACAGTGCTATCGCCAGACATCTCCTTGATACAGGACATAAAGCTGATATACTGAAGTCCTTCAAGGTGATTAACAAACAATCAAACTCGAACCTTTTGAAATTTGCTGAAGCGTTAGCAATCAAACGTTTAAAACCAGATCTATGTATACAAAAAGAGACAGTAATAAATCTTTCTTTACCCTGGTAACAATAACCCGCACTCTTTCTATTAATTTGCTCCTATTTATTTATTTATTACGTGATTATTGCAACTCTTTCTAAAATATAAATTACATCATACATAACTGATTGATTTCAATTCATATTTTCTTTATTACCATTAATCTATTTTCATGAGTTCTAATCACTATTTCAATGTTCTGGAACTTTCCCTCTCAAACTTTATTTATTTATTCGAATCAAACATTTTATGAGCTCATTAACTCTATCTGAATATTCGCTACATCATCATACACATGTATTGATCCTTAATCACACTCTTATATATAAATATGTCAATATCTGTATTAATGTTGAATTTTAAATAATTTAGGTTGTAAGCAGCTGATGAGAACCTAACGAAATAAAATGAATTCATATTATTCTGCACCAATTTTTGTTCTTGCTCTCTTTAAAATAATAAAGGGAACTATGTGTATGAAATTTCTCAAAATGCGTCTCCCTGCACAGTCATTCAAGTCACTGAATCGCCTGGTGACAATACGCTGCAGAATATCGAGAGAAATAACTCGACTAAAGTTTTTTGATGAATGTCTCAAGTCATGCCGTTTCCCACGTCAGTTCTTAAAGTCTTTACGCTCATTTAAACTTCCGCCTTCTCTTAAAAATCTTCGACGCATCACAAAATCTCACATTGAATCAACAAAGTTACTGATTGAACGTTTGAGGGCAGAAACTAATGCCTTTAATGAATTAATCGACAATCTAAGTATCGTATGTCGCATAAAATTTATCAATTTTATACAAGATCTGCAAAGCAAAATATGCAAGAATTTCCACGTAACTTTGTCAAAGACTCTGTCAAAGGAACAATTATGTTTTGGCTTTCCGGAAAACCCCGAAAAGTTTCTCTATAATCTATCAACAATGAAGTTAAATCAGACAGAAACAGAAGCCTTGTCACTTGGATTTAAATTTCATATCCCCAAAACACATGCCGACAGAATCGACACAGAAACTCAATTTGAGAATTTATTTGATCAAATTAAAGAGTTGCACCCAGTTAGTGAAGAAAAGAAAGGCTGGTTTAAATCTAAACTAGTCGATATTGCAAACCAATATCTTGTTTCACCCGCACCACAGTCTA